CTGTATATGCATAATCCGATATACCACGAATGTATGGGACCTGGTTCTAAAGACCACCTGGCTGTAACGACCGCTTTTGCTTGCACCGTGGGGTGGTCGCTTACATCAGGTTTTACTGCACTTTCGATTAAGTGTTCCATTAGGCCGATTGGTATTATTGCCAGCGGCTTTTGTCAACGTCATTTCTCTCATTTCATTGTATTGCATTACTCCTTCAGACATCAATCCTGAATGGCATAAGCGAAAGTGGCACCCCCGCCACCTACGCGGACATGCTTTTAAAGATATTAACAACACCAACACTACCCACACACAGAAGGACCAATTAGAACGCATTCAGCGACGAGCAGCCCGTATCTGCTTGCGGATCCCCCTTTCTGCACCAGTCCATCACAGCTCACTTGTTCACCATCTCTAACTTGCCACAGTAGTCTCCCGGAAACTCTTACGACAGGTGACTCTTGCCCACAACATCGAGTACATCCGCGCGCCCCTTCACCTGCAACAGCTTCACCTTGCACGACCAATTACAGAGCAGCCATATGCGACCCATGAGAACATACACCTTGAGAACATCACACACATACCGACACACCAACTCACCCATCAACCTCTCCCTTCACAGTTTCAACCGACCCGCGTGAAACAAATAGCAAGCATGCGTTTACGTCAATGGCGTCTAGCCTCATTCTATCATCCATATACTCCTGCAGTGGCTTACGCTTTACCCCATCGTAACCCCATCCCTCTGCAATGTATTGGCTTCCTTACTTGCTAGACTGATTTTATGATTCTGGACTGGTTTGAAGGACTGGCTGGGGGCCACAGACGGCAACTAAGATCAACTAACTGCTATTTTAGACTTACATGTGCTACATTCCTTTCCCTCCTCCCTCCACCCGCCCCCACCCTTTCCTGGTGCGCATCCAGTGCCGACTCAGAGGTCTCTGGTCGGACTAGCTGGACTCGCCTCACCTTTACCTTGCCTTTGCAGATCCTACCCCCTTTTGTCTGCTTGTACTCGTCTTCTGTCCCACGTTGCTGTTACCCCACATCATCATCATCAGTAGGACGGTGATACTTGAAGTAGTCGTGAACCTCGCCGATCGAGCCAAGCGCATTTGCTCCCCTAGTAAAACTTGTGGATGAGGTTGAATTTCTCCGCTCGGTGTTTACCAAGAATGGCTACACGGACCATATTTTGCAGAAATATTAATTTATCAACACCAACACCTAAAGAAGTAACGATCGGACCTACTCGATGTCCGGTATTTTTTATGTTTACCATGGAAGGGAAAGGAGTCTATCAATGTGTGCCATGAAGGTTGCTTAGTTGTAAGACAAACCTACAATGCAGTGCACGTCATACCCGTCTACACAACAATGCGTGCGGTGCTGACGGACGTTCTGACAACCCACCAACTCAGCACACCGTCCTACTGATGAGGTGGGGGATTATTGTGTTGCTTTTGCGCATGACTTATAATAATTTCCTGCAAGCCCGTAAAGGAGGCTTGTATCTCCCCCAGCACAGGGCGCTTCTCTGCTCACGACTGCTGAAAAGTCGCGATTTCTTTCTAAATAACCAAACGTTGCGAAAAAGTGGCGAACATCTTTCGGAAAGGGTTCAACACAAGCCACTTCCCACGGCTTCATGAAAAATGCTGGCTCAGGGTCTAGGACAGCGACTAACACTCACGAACTGTCCATACCCAGAATTATTCTACTTCTACACATACCGGCCCACGTTTGCAGCATAGGCCATTGCTCTAATCAAGAGAGGTCATGTACAGTAACACCTGTCAAGGCGACCACCTGTCCAATGCGACCACCTGTCCAAGGCGACCACTGACACCAGGACCAGGGGATGCTATCTCCAGTCAAGTGACCCTGGATAAGGAGACCACCTCAAGTCCTTTGGACGGTCCCATGAGTGGTCATCTTAGACGGGTTCACTGTACTTTTGCGGTATAATGACGTAATGCACGATGCAGCCCCAACCAGATAGCCTTGCTTTACCGGTAAACCACAATTTCAGTCCATATTTGCTTCTTTTCCTTTTCTTTTTGACTTCTTTTTTAGTTCTTACTCTTTTCCTTGTTAGCCGTGGTTGGCTAGAAAAACCCTGCAATCGCCACGCAAAGTGGTCATTGGCTACCCCAGCCATGTATTGCTTGGAATAAAATAAATCAATAAAAAATTTGCGGTGATAGTACAACCCGTGAACTGAACATACTGGCAGATGATTCTGATCGCTGCAAGCATCAACAATTGCAACCACGTTTGTAACAAGATAATTAGGCAGTTTCCTTGTGATTTCTTCTGTATTTTAATTACAGTCATTGACTCAGTAACTGATATTTCAATATTGTCAGTGCTTACGTTTTTTAGATTTGAGTTGGCATTTTTGCATCAAGATATTGTAACGGTCATTATGTAATGTGAGCACATCTGCTTTGCCCGTACAAAAGGCTTTTCATCATGAACAATTGCAAAGAAATCAAGAGTGCACTTGAACTCTTGACCAAGCGTCAAACCAGGCGCCGTCATCGGGTTGGTGGGTTCATTGTAGCTCTTTTTGGACGATGTTCACCGCGGGAAATGATAGCATTGTAACATTAGTAGGGGGGGGGGGGGGGGTGGGGGTACAGCCAAGGCAGCCTCAGCCTATAGTGCTAGGTGATGCGGGTCAGAGGGTATCAGCAAAATATATGCTTTATGGTATAAGTTAATCAGCCAAGCTCAGACTCCGCAGGAAATGCAGCAGTTCAGTGAAGGAGTGCTGGACACCTGGAACCAGTTGCCTCGCCAACACCTCCTGGATCAGCCCGACCAGAAGAGGTTGCAGTCCTTCAATTGCAGCGTCCACCGATTCCTGCGCTCCAGCCACTGGGACTGGGCGACCGACCAGCTGTAGGGACTCGGCGTGATGGTTTTCTGGACGTTACTGCGAGAGAGTGAGTCTGTGCACAAACGAGAGAGCTTGCAAGCTCAGGGCCCTACGCTATGCTTTGTTGCCCAGCTCATCGTGCATGTTGTTAGAACTGATGGATATGTTTTTTTCCTTTGATTAGCTACATCATTGTATTGCAAAAACGTTTCAATGAGTTACTGAAGTAACGTCTTCTGCATAGCTACGGGACCGGCGTTGACTCTGCCGATCACGGGCGTTCTGGAGTTGACAGGATGTCTGTCCTGACGTTTCCTGGGACCGGCGCTGACTCTGCCCATCACGGGCGTTCTGGAGTCGACGGGATGTCTGTCCTGACGTTTCCTGGGACCGACGGGATCTCTCTTCCAAAGTATGTTTATGCTGACGCATCCTATCACCTATTCGGCGTCTATTCTAATTTAATTTCCTCCCCGTCTCCCTATTTCTTTCCAAATCTCCCTCTACATCAGGGAGTCGTATACATAATACGACGAATATTGGTACGGTACGGGACAGATACAGGAGCCCGCAAATATTGTGGACAGCTGTTATGCACAATCCTGTAGAGCCTTTGTAGTCACAGATACGGGACAGATACGGGACAGATACGGGATAGCTCCAGGCGTGACACAAACAAACAAACACACAAACAAACACCAAATTAAAGCTGTGTGGACCCTGGCTAGCGCCAGACGTTACTGAAGTAACGTCTTCTGCATAGCTACGGGAATATTATGTATGATTACGCGTCTGCGTGAATGTGCACGTGTGTGTGTGTGTGTGTGTGTATGTGTGTGGTGTGTGTGTGGTGTGTGTATGTGTGTGTGTGTGTGTGTGTATGTGTGTGGTGTGTGTATGTGTGGTGTGTGTATGTGTATGTGTGTGTGTGTGTGTGTGTGTGTGTGTGTGTGTGTGTGTGTGTGTGTGTGTGTGTGTGTGTGGTGTATGTGTGTGTGTGTGTGTGTGTGTGTGTGTGTGTGTGTGTGTGTGTGTGTGTGTGTGTGTGTGTGTGGTGTGTATGTGTGTGTGTGTGTGTGTGCGAGCATGTGTGTGTGTGTGTGTGCGCGCGCGCGCGCGTGTGTGTGTGTGTGTGTGTGTGTGTGTGGGTGGGTGGGTGCACATGGTTGGTATGTGGTGTTTATGTGAGCGTATGATAATAATCTCTTCAATAATATTAATATCTTTATTTCAAGATTACCCAACGCCGGCGAACGCCTATCAGGTTGATCTCCTATTTGAACATTTGCATATGTGTGTGTATGATGTGCCCTAGCTCACTTATAATTATTATTATGTTATACACGTAGATCATGTTCATGATGCCTTTCCTCTGCGCAGGTCGACCGCACTACCGGTATTGTTTTTAAGATTAACATAATTATTACTTCTGCATTGCATATGCATTACATACTATGATCATGCTGGCTCCATCCCTTACACTGTATCTCCTCAGCTACCCCCCCCCCCCCCCCCCCCCCCCCCCCCCGGTGCGTCTGCCCAGTGTTGACTCCGAGACCCACGGTCGGACGAGCTGCCCAGGCCTCACCACCACTGCCGTTTCCGTGCTGCCTTCTCGATACATACGTATGTTTACTGTATATCATGTGCACATTCACATGTCTGAAGGTTTGTGGTTTTTCAATAAATAAAAAAATAAAAAAAGTTCGAAGAAAAGTTGACTGAAAGATAACTGTGGACTGGGTTAATTAGGAATGCATGAAAATATTATTATTATAGACAACACCTCATGGCATGAAAAGAAAATCAGCCAGTACGGGAGATGTGGGTGTTAACCAACCATGGTGAATAAGAGAAGAAAAGAAGAAAAGTAATGGTCAAGACGGAGAATCTGGACGGCAATGGAATGGAGTGCGCATTCCGTGTAAACGAACACAACTTGCTCCATGTCAGCACGTGACTCTTGATCTACTGTAAAGCATGACATTTTCGCGGCGTTTTTAGTTCGCGTTTTCAGAATCCGGACAGGTTTGCGATTGCAGAATTTGATACTGTGGCATTCAGGCTAAACCTTTTATGGATCTCCTTTTCGAGCTGTCTAAATTTCGCGATTTCCACGCGGTCACGAATTTCGCAGAAATTAGACCATGGCAAATACTTTCACGGTTTACAGTACATGGTCAGTAGGAGAACATGTGAAGCACTGGCAGAGACGTTCCGCTTCCACGCGGTGTCACACCTAGTGAGAACACCAGAGAAAGAAAAAAAATGGGGGTGTTCACTGAAATACAGGCTTCAACATGAATACAATCATCATTACTAGTACATGAAAAGGCGACGAGGAGACAATAACTTTATTAATGCGATTAGTAGTATAAGTGAAGCGGACATTACAAAATGATGAATGAGAATACATGTATCTAAAATGGTTGTTCCTAATCGATTTTCTTGTATACTTCCCACTATCCGATTACCTATAAGTAGTTTGTTTCTCCGTATAGCCTCTATTGTGAGACGATTTTCCCTGATGATAGTCTCAAGAAAATCGATATTAGGAACAACCATTTTAGATACATATATTCTCATTCATCATTTTGTAATGTCCGCTTCACTTATACTACTAATCGCATTAATAACATTACTAGTACATGTATTAATAACTCCTCTGTAGCCTTGTCATGATTTTTAAATTTTTACCGCCCTCGGCCGCACAAAGTCCTTGGCTACAAAAAAATTAAAATCTCTCCAAATCTCTCCGAACCAAACTTCAAATTCCTTTTCAAATTTTCGCCCAAGAGGGCATATTCAGGGATATGTGACTCCTGTTACCTTTTTTACCTTTTTCTGTAGTTATATTGTTGTTTTGTTCACAGGAGTCACATATCCCTGAAGATGCCCTTTTGGGCAAAAATTTGGAAAGGAATTTGAAGTTTGGTTTGGAGAGATTTTAATTTATTTTTTGCAGCCAAGGACTTTGTGCGGCCGAGGGTGGTAAAAATTTGAAAAATCATTACTAGTATTATCAAGAGTGCAGGACTCTTGGTATTATTGTTGTTATAGTGGTCGAGTGTGCGCACGGTTGTAGCACCACACGGTACAGTAAAACCTGTCAAGGCGACCATTCGAATAAGGCGACCACCTGTCCCAGAAGACCAGCCAGGACTGCAGCCAGGACCAAGGGATGCTTTTTCTCCGGTCTGGATAAGGCGACCGCCTGGTTTCAGAGACCACGCTTTGAAGGTCGCTTGAGCGGTCGTCGTATACAGGCTGCACCGTACTGTAGGTAAATTCCTGTGCAAGCGCGCGCACACATTCAACCAAGGGAAACAAGTCTCGCCATTACCCTAAATATGAACTGTCTGCTGTTGTTGCCTGGCGTGTGGATGGTTGTAGAAAGGTTTCCGAACACAGTGTCCTCCACCTTGTTTCATGCTGTCAAACTATCAACATTATTATGTAAACTAAAACTAGGTGTATCTAATGCCACCTACATGTATGGTCATAGGAGAGAACAAAGAAGAAGAAATAAAATACTTATAAGTGAAATTCATACCGCACAGGTGCACCCATGCGTCATTAATTAAGGGGCACCCTACGTACCTCCAAATAATTGTGTCTGGCAGACTAGAACTTCTTCGTTCGCATTGCAGACCAGTTCGCACCTAGAACAGCAGTTAGTTAGAGCGGGGAGAACAACAAAAACAATGAGCATTGAATGTAAACTGTCTCCAGGGTGTCTTCTCCACTGTACTTCACGTTCGCCTATTCAATGCGTCTCTTGTTCTAAACTCACATAGTTCTGCAGCTCGCCTCCGCTTACTGCTTTCTTATCACGCAATTGCCACTTGAAGTGAATCAATTTGGGCTACTAGAGCAACAAAGGACATTCCGTTTTCGGTATGAAGTATGCCAAATTTCACCTGATGAGGGGTGAATAGACATGGGGAAGAAGCCGATGTCCATGTGAAGGCCAGGGACGACGCATCGCCATTTTCGGCGATATCCCGAACCAGTGTTCAGTAACATGCTTGCCCCGTTCCTGCTCGAGCCCTAGTCAGCAAGGTAGATACATGAATATACTCAAACACCGGATAACAATGGAACAGAAAATTTGCACTTACGCCCACACAGAACTAAGTGCGGTTGATGGCGGTCCGTAGCAAAGAAATGGGGCTGCTGGTGATGTAACTTGAAGGCGACGGTTCCACCTTCCAAGATAAACGGTGGGAGATTGTCATGAGCCGCAAGGAAATACTCTTGGTATGTGTCGACAAGTGGAGTGAGTATGTCCAATGCGTCATGGGCTTCCTGCGGAGTCAACAGACTGTGGTTGATGAATGTGCACGCTTCCCTTGCAAACTCGTAGGTGACGCTTGCGTCCGCGAGAACTGCTAGCGAGTAACGGTCCACAGAATCCGTTGTGCTTGTATCGGTAAACCACACATCTGAAACGAGTGGGACAACAGGAAATACTTGACATTTGGCTGACGTGTGCGGGACAAACCGTAATAGCCCAATAGATTTCATTCAAATTTCGCTGAGTACTGAGGTATACTGAGGCTGCATTTACACGGAGACGAAACGAAACGAAACGGAACGAAACGGAACGAAAACGGGCTGGCCTCGAATCGTTTTCAAACCAATACACGAGAACGGCAAATCGTTTTGAACTGTTCACACGAAAACGGAAAACGGGCGATCAGGCTGGAGTTAGCACTTGCTGACTTGGCGCAAGGGCGGGAAGTAACACGTTAGTTGGAGTTGGTTCGTGCTGGTGGTCGCAAAGGTCAGGTATTTCCCTCGAAATACAGTCCCACGCGGAATGGTTTCCATGACCGCGCTCCGTTTCCAATCGTTTTCACTGTTTTCACCGTTTACACGAGAACGAAAACGTTTTGAAAACGTTTCAAAACACTTTGAAGTGCGTTTCCATTTCGTTCCGTTTAGGTATCGTTTTCGGGCGTTGTCGTGTAAACGATAGTAGTAAACGCAATGATTTCGTTCCGTTTAGGTCCTACTTCGTTGTCGTGTAAACGCAAATCGTTTTCAATCGTTGTCGTGTAAACGCAGCCTTAGGCTGTAAACGCAGCCTTAGGCTGCGTTTACACGGAGACGAAACGAAACGAAACGGAACGAAACGGAACGAAAACGGGCTGGCCTCGAATCGTTTTCAAACCGTTTACACGAGAACGGCAAATCGTTTTGAACCGTTCACACGAAAACGGAAAACGGGTGATCAGGCTGGGGTTAGCACGTGCTGGCTTGGCGCAAGGGCGGGAAGTAACACGTTAGTTGGAGTTGGTACGTGCTGGTGGTCGCAAAGGTCAGGTATTTCCCCGCGAAATATAGTCCCGCGTGGAATGGTTTCCATGACCGCGCTCCGTTTCCAATCGTTTTCACTGTTTTCACCGTTTACACGAGAACGAAAACCTTTTGAAAACGTTTTGAAAACGTTTCAAAACACTTTGAAGTGCGTTTCCATTTCGTTCCGTTTAGGTATCGTTTTCGGGCGTTGTCGTGTAAACAATAGTAGTAAACGCAACGATTTCGTTCCGTTTAGGTCCTACTTCGTTGTCGTGTAAACGCAAATCGTTTTCAATCGTTGTCGTGTAGACGCAGCCTTAGGCTGCGTTTACAAGGAGACGAAATGAAACGAAACGGAATGAAAACGGGCTGGCCTCGAATCGTTTTCAAACGGTTTACATTAGAACGGCAAATCGTTTTGAACCGTTCACACGAAAACGGAAAACGGGCGATCAGGCTGGAGTTAGCAAGTGCTGGCTTGGCGCAAGGGCGGAAAGTAACACGTTAGTTGGAGTTGGTGCGTGCTGGTGGTCGCAAGGGTTGGGTATTTCCCGCGAAATATACTCCAGCACGGAATGGTTTCCATGACCGCGCTCCGTTTCCAATCGTTTTCACTGTTTTCACTGTTTACACGAGAACGAAAACGTTTTGAAAACGTTTCAAAACACTTTGAAGTGCGTTTCCATTTCGTTCCGTTTAGGTATCGTTTTCGGGCGTTGTCGTGTAAACGATAGTAGTAAACGCAACGATTTCGTTCCGTTTAGGTAGTATTTCGTTGTCGTGTAAACGCAAATCGTTTTCAATCGTTGTCGTGTAAACGCAAATCGTTTTCAATCGTTGTCGTGTAAACGCAGCCTTAGGGAGTACCGGTAATGGGAAGGGCCTGCAAAGTTATAGCCCCTGCACCATACTATGCCAAGTGCTCTCAATTTGTCGATTTCGGTGTAAATTTCATTCTTACTGACACACAAGGGAGCAGTAGTAGTACGAGGTGAGTGGGCTTTTTTATACATGGTTGTAAAATGACTTCTAGACAAGCTACGTCCAAATGAATTGTTGAAAATGGAAGTGCTATCCTTCATGCCCGTTGTGTCCAAAAATGGGAATGATACCACTTTGGAAAGTGTCTTGAATCATGTCTTACTTTCATAGTATTCACAGGATTCAAGTAATTGGTGTGTAATTTTTTAACAAATATGTAAAATGGCGTCACAACCTGGGATATTTGGTCATCAATGTTCTGAAGTTGATATCACTTCAAGAATTGCAAAGTGGATGAAAATTTATCTGTCAACCTAGGAGTGAACTGCATTGTATGCCGCGAAAGCCGTGTTTTTGTATTTGTAACTAGTGGCTGTGTTATACGGTGGAATTGGATAGGTAGCATAGCATCGCAGCCATGTTTTCGTTCTTACAGAGTGTATTCCGTGACCTACTGTTCTTTATTACTGTCTCTAGTGATGGCAAGACGGCCTGACGTCGCCCAAAGGCCCTGCGGAAGCAATTCACTGCCCTCCTCGTCCATTTCAGGGGCTCATTTTGCACATTTTGCACAAAATGGCAAAGCACCCACCACCAGTTATACCGACGAGGCAGGGAGAATTAAATTATATGCAACAAATTTTCTGGTCAATGTTGATCTACGATAAACTGGCTCTCATTTGCCACCACCCATGTTTCGATACAGCCATCCGGAGCAGAGAAACAGCCAGAAGAAAAGCAAATGTTTACACATCAAGTAAATGTTTTGTTAAAAAAAGCCAAATGTTAATAAAAGCCAAATCCGAGACCTCGTAGTATTAGTTTTTGACATGACTGTAAGTACATGATAGTGGTATATTTGGAAATACAATTGCTATCATTTGCCATGGCGACCCTCGTTAGTCCACATAACTGGCAGGGCAGGGCCTTTTTCTTTTTTTTCTTTTCTTTTTCATAGAAATGCAGTTTGTGCGCAAACAAGAAGGAGTAGTAGGAGCAGTAGGACAATGTCCTGCTCGCTCTTTTCTTTCACTTTGCGTTGTTGTTTTCATCACTATTGATTTCACGATGTATTTATTTTTGCCAGCTTTAGCAGTAGTAGAATTTATTACTTTTTGATAGGGAAGGCCCTAAAGACGTTGCCGACTTGTTAAGCGGGATTCACAGAAGCTTTTTTGCGATGCGACACGCGATGCGACGCGATCTGCGATGGATGCGTGCGATGCGAACTCGCGAAATACCATTCACAGAAGAAGTCAGCGATGCGACAAAGTTTTGCTGATTTGGGTACGTCACCATGATATTCGCGCGGTTTGACACAACTTGTAAAAATTTCAAGGCAACTCTTGCACCTTTGTACAACTTTGCTGTAGAAAAGGTCAAAATCGTACACCAAATCGCTTGTCGCATCGCATCGCATCGCAAAAGTTGAGCCAAGCTCAACTTCTGCGATGGCCTGCGATGGCCCTGTTGCGGCAGTTGCGTGGGGTCCGCGATGGTTGCGATTTGGGGATTTCCCGGTTTCGCGGCTGTCGCATCGCGTGTCGCATCGCAAAAAAGCTTCTGTGAATCCCGCTTTACAGGGAACCCAAGTGCTCTTTACAGAGCGAAACAAAAAAAAACTGATAGATATTCAACTTGACAACACGAGAGATTGGAAGCTGTGCCCCACAGTTTCATGTACATGTACTGTGAAGCGTGAAATTTTCGCGGCGTTTTTAGTTTGCGTTTTCAGAATCCGGACAGGTTTGCGAGGTTTTAATTTCGCGATTGCAGAATGTGCTACTTTGGCATTCTTGCTAAACCTTTCATGGATCTCCTTTTCGGGCTGTCTAAATTTCGCGATTTCCACGCGGTCGCGAATTTCGCAGAAATTAGACCATCGCAATAATTTCACGGTTTACAGTATTACAATTTAAGTGTATTGTCTTCAACTGCTTTATGGTTTTTCTTTGAATTTGTAGGATGTTCCTTCGATTGATGCCTGTGTAAGTTTCATCCTTTTGTCACCACTTTTGTTACCACCAGAACATGCATTTCGAGTCGATTATAGAAGCTATTCTTGTCAAAACCACTGCCGAAAAAGAGTGGGGAGGCTCGAACCAGTGAATGGCAAAAAGTCAAAATAGATCTACTCCAAACCTGCCCAGAAGGAGCTCAAAGGACTATTTTTCGATTTACTTGAAGGTACGAGCCACCTCGCAGTGTCGGCAACTGAAATCCGACCCCATGAGCGGTGCACTCACATCGCAAAGACACAACACAGGATTGTAACACGCCGAAATGGGAACCACTGGAATGGGAACACAACGCTCAGGGGTCGGATTTCAGTTGCTACCGGTGTATAATTATTAACCAGCAAATACATGATAGAAAGAACTACTGGTATGCTGCCATGGATACACCCGCGCTCACATTCACATACATAATTTATACATGAATCTTACTTGAACAGGCAACGTAGTAAATTTTGGAGGGTCCGGGTTTCGCCATCACCCCTCTTGAGTGAAAGTAGAGTTGGTTAGTATCGCTCCAGAATCCGGATATTACATTATTATGCATCCGCCGGGTTTTAGTAAAGATAGCGCCCGAGCAACCATCGACCTTTCCATCAGCAAAGTCGTAATTGAAGAAACCTCGATCTTTACATAAATCCTTCGCGCCTTGATATGATGTGGCGTTGTAGCGCCCAGTGCCTCGATTTGTGTAATACTGAGGTGCGTCTGACAAAATGAATGACGTAGTCAATCCAAACGCAGTTGGACATGTTCTGATCTCCTCTGAAGGATGCCAGTGCAAAACAAACATACATGTAGATGTGCACGTTAGCATTCTGGCCGTCAGAACACTCCTCCGACACCACGTAAACAACGCAAATGCCATCCGCAAACATACAGAACTGAACATTAGACATGCTAATGGACGGGGAAATAAAATTTTAACTGCAGGTACATGATGTTGGTGGAGTGGGGGAACCAGCTGTATACACATTATAGATGT